ATGTACTCAATATTATTATGAAACCAATATAAAAACACACTCTCTTACGAATAGTAAAACACAAATATAGTCTAACAAGAGGGAAGGAGGGGCAAGAAGGGAGGGGAAGGGAGAAGGTGTTTGGTGGGAGGAGAGAGGGCATTTGACAAGATCTTGACTAATGTGCACAATGCAAGTTGTTTAGTTTCTAAACAACTAAGAGTAAATTGTAAATGTCTTACCACAAACAATAAGTTAGTGAGGTGATGGTTATATTAATCAGTTTGATTTAAGCATTCTATATGATATATCAAATCATTACATTGTACCCCAAAAATGTATACAGTTATGATTAATAAAAAAAAATTTTTTTTAGAATTCTGTCTTCTTCCTTCAAAGTTCTTTTGGTCCTCTTTGACAACATAGGCTATTAAGCAGACAGAGTTAAAAAATACTGGTGATCTGTGCAACTATTCACAAATTCCACTTTCACACAGAAACACAGTGTACTTTGTCAAAAGCTGATAACAGACGGATGTACTTGACCCCCATAAATTCTCAGCCTCCTGAAGTAGTGGCCTCAGTCGGGCAGGGGAAGGTGGAACTAAATCATGAGCACAGCAGCCATCGATTTATCCCTTATGGCTCACTAATGTTCTAATTGTGCTGGTCAACCTGGGAGGATTATTTTGTTAAAACTTATTTTATTCTTTGATATTTTAATCACATTCATTTTTAAAATTAAAGAAAAATATAGAAGATAAAAAAGTAATAATAAGAATGAAAGGATTTGTTCTATAAAATTTAGATTCAGTCAAAAGGCCACACTTAAGGACCCACAAGGCCACATGTGGCCTTAAGACTGCAAGTTCCCCCCTAGCCCCCGCACTATATTCTTGTTTCTTTCATATTGCTAGTATATTTCATGCTTCAGTCATCACACCATGAAAAAGGATTACTGTATAAATAATACTATTTCAAAGACTTCGGTTTTAAAACAAGGTTTTCTGATTTTGACTCCAAAAAAGTAATTAGACTTGAGAGAAGCCCGGATTAGACCCAAAGGAATCAAGTTGTGTTCCTGCTAATGATGATTTTATTTCAACACATAACATGCCATAGTCCAAGAACACAAATATTTTTGTGATGGCCACTTGAGACCCTTATTTGGAGCTGTGTATGATTTCTGATTTAAGAATTCCATTTATTATCTAAATCTCTGTAATAGAGGGAGGGAACCTGGAACAATAGATCAAAATTGGGTGGATATTTCCTTGACTCCCTAAGCAGCATCCTCTAGGGAGCACCCTTTGGAAAAGAAGATATTTCCACCCACCTTTTTACCCCAGGCAAACTTCTGATAGCTCTCTTTATGGTCCAACTATACATAATTGTTAATATTATCAATTATATGACAAATACTATGTATTGTGATTTCTGTAAAATTATTACCTCAGAAATGTAGTTATTACCTCTTATAACTAACTTATAATGGTGATATGTGATAGGTTACCCTTTTTTTCTTCCAATGCTTTACTTTAGTATAGAGAATAAAAATTATACAAGAATATGGCTATAAAACTGCTATACCTAACAGGGTAAGATAAACTTCACTCCACCCCAGGCTTCTTTTCTTCCCATCCTTAAGTCTATTAAAATGTTAACACTCTGCTGTACCACAGTCTGAACAGCGCCTGCACACTCTACAGTTTGTTCTGTTTCCATGCTTAAAATACCTGTCCATTTTTTTCTCCCTCTACTTAAGTCTGCACGTTGTTCTGTGACTAGAATGTACATTTAGGAACCCTTCTTCCCCACTCCAGTGATTCCCAGTTGGGAGGACACTCGACTTCTGTACCCTGGGCCTCTCTCACCCCTTCGCCCCACCCCTGAGGAGGTAAATTTACCTGGCTTGAAAGTATGGAAAGACTAACAGAAAATGTATGGCTCAGCTCTACCCTCCTTCCATTAAGCTTCCTGCCCCAGTTAGAGCAACCAGCTATACTGTCAAGTCTTCATAATTAGAAATCCAACTTGGCTAACACTTAAAAACACATCCAATGACGTTTTGTCTACTAGAAAGGAGGTGATATTTGGGCCTTCATCTTCACTGTTTCATTTCTCCCCTTATATAGAACCTAAGAAGGGGACCTCTTCAGATACCCTTATGTACATGAATTTCTGTCTCTCCCATAAGGGCTCTGCTGACTACATTGGGCATTGGTGAGATCTGCCCTTATTAAAATAATACAGTGTGTATTATCTGTTTTGTTCATTACCACCTTACATTGAGTACATATAAATCCATCCGAGTGTTTCTAGTCATCATCATCAGCACACTGTAAGTTCTTTCTGAATAGAAAACATGTTTTTTACTTATTTATACTTTGTATTCAAAACAGGATTTAAGGCATTGAATAACATATGTCAATTGTTTGAAAAAGATGCAATGCTTCTCTCCAGGAAACTGTATGTAATACAATTGATTACGGAGTTGTAAACATCTTGTTAATTTGATAGAGATGAACAATCAGGTATTCCTAATGATTGAAAATTGGCACTTTCGGCTTGGCGTCCATAGCTCAGTGAGTAGGGTGCCGGCCGCATACACCAAGGCTGCTGGGTTTAAGCCTGGCCTGGGCCTGCTAAACAACAATGACAACTCCGCCCATAAAATAGCCGGGCGTTGTAGCAGGTGCCTGTAGTTCCAGCTATGCAGGAGACTGCGGCAAGAGCATTGCTTATGCCCAAGAGTTTGAGGTTGCTGTGAGCTGTGACACTACAGCACTCTACTGAGGGTGACATAGTGAGACTCTGTCTCAAAATTCAAAAAAAAAGAAAGAAAACTGGCACTTTGGACCATTCCCCCCTTTACACAAATCTTTATAAAATGTATTGCACACTTTCCAGCCTTAGTAAACCTTACAAGCCAAAAGGTGCTTATATTTTTTCCATTGGCACAGAGTGTCCAAAGTGCTCGTGTTATCTTATTGTATTAGAAGTGTTTTAAAATAGAGACTTCAACTCTCCTGATCAAAATATAACAAATTCACCCAAAGTGGCCTGAGAGAACAACACTGAGAGAAGACAAGTTGGAAACTAAGAAAATAGTGCCTATGATGACATTCCAAAGGGCCAAGAAATAACAGAAGCAAGAAACGGTAGCTCCCAGCAGCTAAGAGACTCAGAAGTAGAATCAGGAGTAAGGCCTGGGTCTAGTGAAATGGCTTACAACTACAGCTATTTACAGCAGGAGCCTGCTGATCTTCCCTTTAGCGTGATGCTAGTCTTAAAGAATTTATGGCATCTATTCCAAATTGCAACATTAGAAAGTTGTACCAGGTATTCTTTTCTTTCTTTAGTAAAATTGAGAATATTATTAATCTAGTGAAAAATGTGTTTTTAGCCCCTACTTACTGTCATATTTACAGAATTTAGAAATTCCTACTGTTCTGTGTGGTAAAAACTGATACGACTGCTATTATAGTGAGGTGATGGGGTATAGTAGATGATAAAATGCAGATGCTGAAAAGGGATTCTAGGGCCCCCATACAAGTAGTATTGTAGTAATAGCATCGATCTTCCCAAATCCTACAGATTGGTGAGGGGAGAGCAAAGAACAGCCATTTCTCTAATCAAACAATATGAACTGAATACAAAATAATAATAGAAATAATGGCAAATACTTGTAATCAAATTCTATTTTCCAAGTGCGATGCTAAGGTTTCCACTTATTACCACACTTCATCCTCTGAGGTGTGCTGCTATTATTTCCAGTTTGCTAATGAGGATGGCAAGACAGAGAGAGTAGACATTGTTCATGGTCTACCTGACACTCATTCCTCTGCTTCTTGCATAATGAATACTGCTTGGTATTTATTTACTTTTCAGAGAGGCTGTGTCCAGCCCTCATCCTCCTAAGTCAACAATGGCAGCCCTGTTTCCCGCTCTCCCCAACACACTTGCTTCCTTTCGGGTGGAAGTGATTGCTCGACCCAGTTTTTACCAGTTAGACATACGAACTGTGCTGGAGGTTTGGGGCAATGTTTTCCTTCCTGTCGGAAGGACAGATGAGGCCAGTGTAACCCTTCTCTTTTCTTTCTCAAGTACAAACGTGATAGCTAGAGCTACATCAAGTATCTTCTGACCAGGAGAAAATGATCTAAAAATTCTTAGAAAGCCCCTGCTGCTGGGCCAATGGAATAACCAGGGACCTCCAGACTTTTTAATGTATGAGAAATACAGAACCTTACTTACAGCACTCTAATGGGGGTTTCTGTTATTCATAACTAAATGCAATCCTGACATAGTCATTTTGTAAAAATGAGGTATGAAATGAGAAAGTATTTGTCAAAGAAAGATTTTATTTAAAAAATGAGTATTTGCTGCATACCTACTACACACTGAGAATTGTAATAATGCAAATATAGAAGACGAATGTGTAGTGAGACTGATTCTTTGCTTTCCAGAGTTAGCAATACATGCAGTAAAATATTCATGAGTCTATACAGGTTGAGGATCCCAAATCTGAAAATCTGAAATCCTAAATGTCCAAAATCTCAAACTTTTTGAGTACCACTATATGTCACTCAAAGGTAAAAGCTCCTTAGAGCATTTGAGAGTTTGTGTTTTCAGATAAGGGATACTCAACCTGTATAGTACTAGCAGATCACACAAGTGCTGGGGGAGTTTAGAATAAAAGAAGAAACAGAAATATGCAGGATTAAAGCCAGACAAGTAAAGCTTCCAGAGAGTGACTTTTGAGTGACATAAACTGGTAGAAAAATGACAAGATTAGAGGCCATTAGACATTACACATTAAAGGGTAAAAGTAAGATTGAGGGAGTTGGGTGCTTAAAACAGACTAGTGTATTTGCTTGGCAAGAACAAAGTCTAACAATAATGAACAGTTATAAAAAGGGTCAGGAAAGGTGTATGGTCTTGAAGGGAGTCAGAGAACTTTGGATTTATTTATGTAGGTAAATTTACAGAGGGAATACTGAATTAATGTAGATACTTACAGAAAGCCATAGGATGGTACATTGTTTGGATAACTTTATCTTAGCATAAACTAAAGGACAATGGCCCAGCTGAGAGCTTCCTGCAATTGACCTAGAATGATGAAAGGGGTGAAACCAAAAGTGATAATTAATGTGGAGAAAACAATCCCCAGGACTCAAGGTTACTGAGTGTGGACAGATGAAAGAGGAGTCAAAATTATACCCAATTACCAATGTAACAATTGAAAATTTCAAGAAAGAAATGATGGATTTTGCTCTAAACTGCCCTGATGACTTAGAAAAAAAATGAAAGAAAACTTCTGAAGAATAGCACTCATATCTCCTATTAGTTACTGAATGCTACTCTAAGAACAATAGGCATTATTTTTTAATAAATAGTAAAATTCTTTCCTGTCTTTGGTAAGTAACTGAGTGTGTTATAACTTGATAGTGATGGCTTGTTACATCCTTTCACCAAGGCTACTCTCTATTTCATTGCATCTCCATATCCATTAACATGTGATTCTTATAAATTTTAACAGTTGAAAAACAAACAGTTGGCTGAACTCTCTGCTTCAGTCTTTTGGATACTTTGCTTCTTGGTAAGTGATCAGTATTTTGATACTGCTGTAGTAATAACAGGAAATGATCTGTTTAAATCTGGATCCCCAGCGACAGATGAATGCCAGTGTAAAGAGGAGAGCTAGCCTCACAATAAAGTCTATAAAAACAGTTTGGAGGATTATTTCTAGGACCACAGGGAGAGAACTGTGATTTGTCCTCTACATTGACAAAGTGAATGCCGGGTGGAAGAACATCTTATGGTAATCACCAAACTGCATCAGTGGAAAGTGAAAGCTGTCGGCTACAAACTTAGTAGTTAGAACAACTGAGTTGGTAAATGCTAGAATTTCAAGCATCATGTGAAATACCATTTCCTAGAATAAAACTCACTCAAAAACATATCCCAAGGAGGTAGAACAATTCAAATTGTAATTTTCCTTATGTTTACAGAATAGAGAGTTGCTTCCACTCACGAGGAAAGAGAAGACAAATGGTGGTGATGGAGGTAGTCATGGAATTAAGTGAGGGTAGTTTCATATAAAATTTAAAAGTAAATTGTCATTGGTTATAGAAATATTCTTAAATTTTATAGTGGCAATTTTTAAATAATTAGGCTTAAAGTTTTTCCTGTTTTATAAATCACCATCCTGGAAAATTAATAAGTTATCCCCAAGGCTTTTTCCCAAGGCTGTATGGACACCACTGCATAAAAGCAGACCCACCCAGACCACAAAGCACAGAGTCCTTTCTTGTAGAAGATCAGAAAACAGCCTTGTGCCGCAAAAACTTCCAAACACCATTCTCCAGGGAGTCACAGTAAAAGTCAGGAAAGCCAGAACAACATGGGCAAAAGATAATCTTGTTTTAAAAGATCCACAAAGCAAAATGTCCACATATAATCATAACTACATTAATTATATTCCCAAATGCTTACACATATTTTGCAAATTTTATCATTTTAAAAGCTAATTGATGAATTAAAATGAATAATCTAGAAGTCAGTTAAAAATAATACATAATAAACTAATATTTAACTAGTTGAGAATTTTATAGCAATTAACAATTTTCTTTTCTTTTTTTGGCAGAATCTCACTTTGTCACCCTCAGTAGAATACCATGACATCATAATTCACAGCAACCTCAAACTCTTGGGCTCAAGCAATCCTCCTACCTCAGCCTCCCAAGTAGCTAGGACTACAGGTACCTGCCACAACATCCAGCTATTTTTAAAGACAGATTCTTGCTCTTGCTCAAGAACTCCTAAGCTCAAGCAATCCACCTGCCTCAGCCCCCCAGAGTGTTGGGATTATAGGCATGAGCCACCACCCAGCATTAACAATTTTCTAAAATGCTAGATATATAAGTTATCAAATGTTATGTATATTTGATTCATAAAAATTGATACCACAGTGTATTAATCTGTACTAAATTAATAATCATAAAAGAATAGAAGACATGGTGCCTGTGTTTTAATCACTACACACTTTCAAATGAGAGCAAATGTACAAAACATCACTTGGTTCGGGGTATAAATCATCTATTTCAAGTGAATTGTTACTTGTATAAAAACAATAGTCCGGGCTCGGCGCCTATAGCTCAACCGGCTAAGGCGCCAGCCACGTACACCTAAGGTGGCGGGTTCGAATCCCCAGCCCGGACCTGCC